AGGACCAGTTTGATATAACACAATTTCATACAATATATATAATTAGGGGGTCCCCGCTCCATCTCGCAATCAGTTTGGGGGTCCTTGGCCTCGAAAACGTTGAAGACCCCTGCTCTAAGATTATGCTGTAACAAAAAAAGTGTTTTGTTTCACTCTGTTTTACATGAATTTATTATGGAAGCACTCTTTTTTATTTTTTATAATGTATCAGGGCGTCCGTTTTTGTTTACATTGATCAAATTTTTTGCCATCAAAACACATCATTTTTCAATGTTACAAAATGAACACGGTCTTGTGTCCTCTAATAGCACCCATGATGTTCAAAGTATCTCACTGAGTGCCCTATAAAGGGTTAAAAATATTTTGCAGAGGTTTCTCCAACAGAAAATCCCAGAAATAAACCTTTCAACGATCTCCGGATTTTTTGCACCTACATGATGTAAGATTTGGACTAAATCAAAAAGGATATACAAGAGAGTCGTTTTTAAACAGCATTTATTTAGCTTTCTCCATACAATACATTTAATGTTTAACAGCACATACTGTATTCTGAAATAACTCTCAGTATAAAATAGGGCTTCTACAATCAAAGAATAGTCATAAAATGCTCTGAGGGACATGAAGACTACGGCAACAGTTAAACACCTCCATATTAAGGAACAGGATATAGAGAGAAGTGATTGTATTTGCTGAGCCGCCATTCAGACTCCGGCTCTCAGAGCATCCGACATCCTGCATGAAACCTGTCTTTGAGTTTGTTAATTTTGTTTCTCAAAAAAGGGAACGAAAAACAACAGTAAAGGCATAAAGAATTGAATGTGTTACAATGGCTGAAGTGAAAACTTTCGGTAACCTGGATAAATCTGGCCTTGTTTGGACACTGAATATATACCGATGTCTAAGCATACACAGCAATATGACTGCCAAGTTAAGCTTATATCTTTACAATCAAATATGAGTTTGTGACTGGCGCTTTAAGGGATCTGTTTTCTCTGTGGTTTATTCACGTCGAACACCTAATCACAGCCAAAGTATACTGAACTATCACTGAAGCCACAAGAAAACCAGCTTATTTCAACACTGCTGGCCAATTAAAGNATACCGATGTCTAAGCATACACAGCAATATGACTGCCAAGTTAAGCTTATATCTTTACAATCAAATATGAGTTTGTGACTGGCGCTTTAAGGGATGTGGTTTATTCACATCGAACACCTAATCACAGCCAAAGTATACTGAACTATCACTGAAGCCACAAGAAAACCAGCTTATTTCAACACTGCTGGCCAATTAAAGCTCCTGCTGAGAAGGAAGGTTTCATCCGTTAGGTGTGCATCACAACCTGCGGGCCTATAGAATTTTCTTAAATAGAATACATAGAACATCGACCAGCTTTTTGTGTTAAATGGCTAACATATTTAGGCGCCGACTATAAATTATATAACATTTCCAATTAGGTATGTAAAAAAAGAAGGCCAGAATAGAGGGAAGCAAAACGAGCCTGAGAGGGAGGCCAAACGACAGGAGAGAAAGAGAGAAAGGAAGATTAGTCTCAAGTCTTGAGGTAAGCAATGTGTTTCAGTATAATGCCCTACAGACAATCATACAGTTACAATCATTAATTCTCTATGTACAAACGTCCTGATTTACATACGCAGCGCTGCTCTTCAGCTTAAAACCTCCTTAAACTTAGTATGAGATCATCGCGATGGTGCAGCTCATCTCCGAACCCGACTTCACAAAGCCTGTCTCATGAGCTGGGCGGGAAAATGAAAATCACAATATGGCTATTCAAGATAGCCTGCTTCCTCTTGCATACGTCACGCATACGTCTCAAATATCTACAACAGTGCAAATTTTCCAGACCCCCCTTCACCCCTACCAGAAAGAAAACCTACTCCAACATTCAGCAAACGACATCGGCTCATACTTCAAGTCATACTAATGGAGAACGGGAACGGTGAGGATCAATTTAGATGTTGAAATTGGTGTGGTTGCCAGTGTAGTAAAAACTTGCATGTGTTATATATTTGAGCTTTCCCAAATGCAGCAGGTCTGACTAACTGGTGAAAAGGGGACAATCCAGTGGACGTACAGCAGGGGGAATCTCTGGTAACAACCCAAGTAATCTTAGTCCATTATTCCAGATGGGAATATGCATTAAATATATGAAGAAATTCCATAAAATTTATAGGCGTTTAAAAATCAATCCAGCTCCCTATGAGTGTAAATTGATATAAGCTAGTTTATTGCCCATTAATGGCGTATAAAAAGGTTTATTCATTTCACAACAGGTATCTCAAGACTTTTTCAGCTAATTGTTGCAATACTGTCCTGCAACAAAGGAGCTAGAACCTATTGACGTACTCGAACCGAAGACCTCTAGGAAGGCTATCTAAAGAGGACTGCACTGCTGGAGAAACAGAAGTTTGAATCTAACATTAAATATTTACTGCAAAGGGGTTATTCTATAGTCCTTTTTATTGTTGCTGCAATTCAAAGCACAAATTATTCAGAAGACGTTTCTAAGGGGAACATTTCTGTTGAAAATTTAATTGAAATTGGGTAAATTTTGCGGCAATCAGAAACATCAACTACTTTTAGATACAATTAGATTAGATTTAACTTTATTGTCATTGCACAGGTACAGGTACAAGGCAATGAAACGCAGGTAAGGTCTAACCAGAAGTGCAATAGCAGCAAGTGCAGGATAAATAATGGTTCTATAAATACAGGACATGGGTTCTACTGAATAAGTATAGAGATGAATACCATTATACAATATAAAGCTGATAAGAGTGGCACAAACAAATCAACTGACTTGAAACCCATTAGCATCTATGAACTGAAATCAAAGTGCATAGAAAATGCATCCAAAACTTCTAAGATTTGAGGTTAAAAAGAATTAGTTTCTCATTAAAGTTGTCCTCCCTGAAAGAAAGCTTTTTAACAATCCTTCATATTTACTCCTTGTGTCACTCCAATTTAAGACAAATAATAAAATGTATGTGCTACTGGGTTTTAATGTCCCTGTATGTGTGGCTCACTTTGGTTGTTACCAGGACCTGCATGCGTTCAACACTTCGTTGACCCGCTGTGAGGGCCCGGGCCTTCCATCACTGCCACGCTTGACCTCAATAACATGATCCTGCATCTCATCGGAAAACTTGACATGCTGACTGAGGAGGCTGAAGAAAGCTATGAAATGCATGTGCTATAGTAGTAACAGTTTGCACACTCATCGACACTAGACGGGAACCGAGACATGACATCAACAAGCTGTACGAAGAGGAGGAGGCTAAAGGATGCTACAGTACTAGAGCTACCTGAACATGCTACAGATTGAGGTTACGGCGATGGGGGGTGGTTTCTATAGCCACACAAACCAACTTCACAGAGAAACTCGACCCTCTCCAGTCCACAGGACCGCTGTAGGCAACACAGAAAATTATATATTTGCCTGATAAATACTGTCCAAGCCAACCTAATGTACCATTAAAGCGTAACGCAAGTACCGCATCTGCAGCTTGGTGCATCGAGGGAGTCTGCAAAGCTGGTGTTATTGTGTGCAGAAGAAATCAACCCCCATCTGTAGTCAGTTCCTGTCACTGCGACTCGCACGCATACACATTCGCTTGCACGAGTGCACAAACCCTGAAATTAAGAACGATTTCTATCATCATACAGCACTAGTGTTTTTGATTATCATAGAGACAGAGCAAGGATTGCATACTGTACCATACATCTCCTAGGAGAGGCACCCTTCATCAGCATCAGATCAATTAGTTCACCACATTCACACACAACCATCCACACAAGGAACATTTGTTCAAGATAAAAGAAATAAGCTAAGAATAAATACGATTACAATCACACGCTTTATAACGGAATGTTGAGAACGTTCAGATCAGACTCTTGGCTCCGTCTGGGTCTGAGCACACACACGCTAAGCATGGGCTGGCCACAGCATCAAGGAACACCCAGGTTCCTTCAAGTTCTGCTTTCAGAACTGCAAAAATCCTCTCTATGGTTTAAAGTCCTTTTAATAAAAATGCCAGAGGAGGTGCAGTGTGAGTGGAGTTTTCTCTGGCTATGGGGCTCCACACACGGTCCTGTGCACTGCCAGTCAGCTGGCTAAAAGGCTACTACACTCTCCCTTCACTCATTTATAAAAAAAAAAAAAAAAAAAAAAAGGAGGACTGCTTGCACATATTTTCTTTTCAAGGATAAATAAATATATTCAAAAACAGAACGATGGTGCAGAAAAAAAGAGAAAGAGAGCGCCACTTGACAGCAGAGGTGGGTAGAGAACCCAGAAGTTGTACTCGAGTAAGAGAAGCACTACTTCCATCTAAGAAATGACTCTAGTAAGAGTAAAAAGGTATTTGGTAAAAAGGATACTTAATTATGGAGTAACCATAGAATTTATATTTAGATTCAAAAAACATGAAAATATATAAAGTTCTGAACAGCTTCTGGTACATTAAAAGACTAAAAATAAAATATGAATAAATAACAGTTTCAAAATTATATATCTAGGATTAAAAAAAAAAATTCCACATCATGTTTTTGTTTTTTACACAATATCATATAGATGTCTGAAATGGTGAAATATATTTGTTTTTATGGAGACTGCCACTCATTAAGCCCCTTGAGGGTTTTTTCGGCAGTTGTCCATCACATTTTCTTTTTTAGTGAAACATTATTCTTTTTTTATGTTTTGTGAAAAAAATAAAAATAAATAAATAATAATAACAAAACTTAAAAAAAACAACCTCAGGAAATAAACATTTACGGAAGGTAATTAAAACAATGAGTAGAAACAAGAATGCTAATTAATATTAGGCTAACTCTTTGTGCTAGGTGCTTTTTTTGTGTGGAACCAGCTTCTTCTTCTCTTAGTGAAGTGAAGTAGTGATAGGTAAAGTAGCCAAAAAACTAAAAAATAGGACAAAAAAAAGGATAAAATTACTTCCGTTAAACCTTAAAATGTGGGTATATTTACTGCAGTAAATTACTGAGTACATACAAGTAGAAACTACCCACCTCTGCTAGACAGTATTACTAAGGTAGTCCTGTTTTAAGTTAGATAAACTGATTTTTATTTGTCAAAAAAAAAAAATATATGGAGCCTAACATTTATTTTTGTTTGAAGTTTTTGGTTACAAATGATATATTTGTGGTGTTTTTCTGAAGCTAATCGTATGACGATCTCATGCCGGCCCATGCCTAACGCACATAAATCAGGCATCTTTCCAGCAGCTGCAACAAATCATGAAAGGAGAAAACTCATGTTTTGATAAGAGATCATGTTTACCTAACCATCTGTCTGAAGTGCCTTCATACACAGCAGAGAAATCAGAAGCAAATGGACGAGCGTCCTACTCGTAAAGGTTAAAATGGTCATCTTTAAAAAATAAGATTTAAGGTTTCCTAGTTAATCTCTTATCACCTGGACTAAACGTCCCTTCACGTTCCAGTCACCGTTTTATATTAAACCCAAAAATATACCCACCTTCAAATCAAGCCGCATTCAAATCCTACTGTATAAAGTTTCTTACAAAAATAAGAAAAATCAAGGTCAATAAGCCATTTCTGATCCCTGATGAAAGAACTCTAAACCCTCTCTGGGTTTTTCCTATCCTCTCACTCAGCACAGGAACAAACCGAAGCGGATGGCCTTAAACTCGTTGCATCATTTCTAATGCAAAAACAGAAGCTCCTTGATTCACTGAGAAACCCTTGAGACATGAGCGTGTACATTTTGGACGTCTAGACGAGTTTAACAATAGGAATTTGGCAGCTGTTATTTTGGCTACGACAACTAGAGAAAAGTGCAATTATTCACTTCCTTTGCTTTAATGACATCTTACATTAAAATACCTACATATACTTTAACTCTCATTTTATTTAGATCTTTTGTCCCAAGTTTAAAGGATATATTAAATAATCATAAATCATACATAACTGAAAAAACACTAATCTTAAAGGAATAGTACACCCAAAACATTAATATTCCTTTAATCTGATCAAAGTGCAGCACCTCAGCATTGTAGGAAGAAGATCCAGATAGCAGACTTCAGATCAGCGCCTGCTGAGCGGTTTTAGCTTTGACTAAGTCATTCACACATAGATTATTAGATTTATCTCTTCATGGGGTGGACAGCTCACTCACTCTCACACACAGACTCTAATTCAGATAAGTCTGGCCTCTCCCTCCATGTCCGGCGGGAGATCACACACTCCTGTGAAGTGCAACTCCTCTGCCCTGCTTCCCTGCCCCGCCCCAGCTTTAGCCCCTCTCTCCCCCAAGCTGGGAGAGGGCTGTTGGCCCTGAGGGTCTGGCGATGTCCCACGTGGGACTCCACCTGCCTGCCTCTCTTTCAGGAAGACCTCTAGTCGGCGCAGCATCTGCTTGGGGTTCTTTTTGGCAAACAGCTCCACTTCTGTTGGTTACAAAGACAGGGAAATAATAGACTCATGTTGAGCTCTGCAGACGGACAACCAAACAAGCTTTAAAAAGGAAAAACGAGGCTTTATTTTAAAAATACTGTTGGTTATAAAACTAACGCAATTCACTAATTCCCTTAGAAATATTTAATTGAGTTTATTTATACAGCACGTCATCTCAAGCCACTTAACAAATGATACAGCCAGATTATAGTCAGTGATTCAAATATGACAGTAACTTAACTTAATAATGGAAGCAAATATTAGAGGATTTCTTTTAAAACTGTTTTTAAGCTAGAAATGTATTTTCAGGTGTTTTATTGAAAACATCTCTTTTGTCTTTTTACCTTTCAGCACAAAGCCAGAGTCAGCTATTGTCTTCTGTTGGGTCTTCCACAGCTGGTACACGTGGAGAAATGCCGCGACATAAAACTCATTCAGCACCCCGACCACTTGTTGACGACGATTGCACTCCCTGGAACAAACAGAGAAAGAGAGCAAAAATACGAAACATTTATGAAACAAAAGGAAACAAAAATTTATACACTCTAAAACAATGCAATAAAGGGGCCTAGTCGCCTGCTATTTAACAAAAAACCCACCAAAAATCATATGTTGACATTAAAGTGAAGCAATATACCAAACATGTTTGTCTTGATAGAATAGAAGAATAGAGAATAGAATTCAACTTTATTTAACCCATCCCCTTGGGGAGCAGTGGGCTGCCATTGTGCGGTGCTCGGGAAGCAGCGTGGGGGTTAAAGGTCTTGCTCAGAGACCCAGAGTGGCAGTCTGTGGGAGTGGGGCTTGAACTCAGAACCTCTGGGATTGACGCGCAATGATCTAACCACTAGGCCTCCACTCCCCTAATAGTGTTTACTTATTCCATTTTGCGCACCAACCTGAGCTGGCAGTTATTTAAATCTCCCATCCGTTCGCTCAACATGTGTCCAACACCAACAAACTGGAGAGGACACTCGCTGCAGAGCCATTAGCCGTGATATAGGCAGGACTGATGCAGCTTCAGTCCCAGCCATCAGTAATGTTTATAAGGCTTGGATGGATACGACCTGCCAAGTCTGCATGCAAAGATGTACAGCTGCCGGTTCGGTGTTTGAGGACAGACCGACCAAATCATACAGCCTGGATGGAGCCATAGTAAGTTAGCATCCATAAGTTTTTGGGTAGCATAGTGGCTAATTGCTAAGCTAGTGGGAAGAATCAACACTGAAGATTAAGTAACTTTCCTCATAACTCTCTTTCCTTCATTAGTTTGTCTCCCTCTGTTCTTTGAACCACTTAAATAAATTCATCTAGTGAATCTAACATAAATGGCATTTGAAATTAAACATCCTACAACATATTCAACAAAATCAGCCCTCTGAGGTTAGATATTTAAAACATGTATATTACAATCTGACATATTTTGTAAACTAACTTTAGTGCTAATGAACATTTAGGCATAGGTAGAAAAAAAGGGTTAAACTTTGTGGAGCCATGGGACCGCCATCTTGGGAAGGTCAGCCGTTCCACTCAGTCTAATACTTTTAGGCAGGATCAATGAATTATTGGTGGATTTAATCAGTTGTAACTCTTTGAATACGAAGCTTTTAACTCTTTCTGTACAGCAAAGCCTATAAATACAGCAATCATAGCCACACGTGTGAGGAAACATGTTTCAGCGCATTCAAATATTCTTAATCGTATTAAACTGAAAATACTCATATGTGATGAATATGAATTTGCCAAAGCGCACATCCTATAATATATTAATTTATCTTTTTTATTATTTATATCTATGTAAAGAAATGTATATATACATATACATTTCTTTACATAGATATAAATAATTGTATATGAACATACATTGAATATCGCATTTATATTACAAAGAAGCATAAATTATAAAATAATTATTAACATTGGATCATATTTGTAAGCTACATAAACACAGATATAAACATACAGTTATAGTGATTGAGAAGACAGACGGCTGTAGGAGAATCCATTATTATTAGCCTAATATTTTTATGGGGTGCAGCAGCATTTGGGTAACAGGTCCATCCAAACAGATTAAGCGCATCTATAGAGTTCAGTTCCTGGTTCGATGACAACTACATGGGAGTTCTTAAAAAACATGTTGTTCCTAAACACTACTGAGTCCATTTTATGATTTTAACCCTAATTAGATCTGATGTTTCCAGAGGGTTTCTTTCAATTTTTCTTGGACAATATAAAAAAAAAAAACAGCTGTTTAGTAGGCATGACTCACTTGGACAGGGCCTCCTCTCTCAGAGCTTGCAAAGCAATGTGGGTCATGTTGATTGACATCACACAGAATGGGAAGTTCTAAGACACAAAAAAACACCATAATGATGTATTGATATGAATTATACTTACATACTGCTTAAAGCCACAATCTAATTATTCATTAGACTTTTATCCAATAAGTAAAGACCAAACAGAACAGTTGCTGATAAGTAATAATCCAGACACACTACAGATAATTTCTTTATCCAGCAGGGTAAAGTATAAACAAACAGTCAGGGACATTTACTCTGATTATTTTTTACAATTCAGAATTATATTTTTATAATTTTATTTATGATATAACTTTGAAAATTAAGTTAGTCATTTGATTAAAGTTCTTTAGGACTGTGTCCTTTGATCTGACGGCACCTGTGTAGGATGCTGTGACAGCTTGTAGATATCTCTCGCCAAAGGGAGAGTTTCTGGGTCCATCACAAAGTAGAGAGTGTGCATCAGTCCAAGAAATCCGGTTCCACGTAGATCAGTGGCTGGGTCTGTACCTGCAAAACACCCCACCAAACCACAGTTTGACATTTTAAGGTTAGGAGCCATATATGGAGCGGCCACAGAAGAGCATGACCCTAATAACTTAGCTGGCTTTAAAATAGACCTGGGCAAAAAGTCGATTCAATGAATTAATTCGAATTATTTGGTGCTGGCGATTAAAAAAATAAATAAATAAATAATTGGTGCGTTTTTGGCTTCCCAGAGTTTCTGTGGCTGCAGTATTACTCTTAGGTTGTAGTTTAGCAAGCGAAAGCATCACACAAAACAGCAAACGATATAACTACAAGTGAGTGAGAAGTTTGTTTAAACAAACAAAAAAAATCTTTTGTTGTTTGGAACTGCAGGCTCCTCCGGCGTAGTGGCGGATTTCCAGTGTGCAGGAGGGGAAAATCAATTTGTCAACGTGAGCTTTATAGCAACACCAGCGATTAAGTCTAAATGCTATGATGATGTGTCTTTTGGACATTATCAGAAGGCATTACTAGCCAAAACCAAGTTTAGTAGGAGAATGGCGGATGGGAGTGGGGGTTCAGTAACACGGGGGGGAGCGAGATTACCTTGTATTAGAAGAAATGGGATTGTGTTCAGTGGCGCAGTGCTGCTTCTTGCTGCAAGACAGCACTGCTGTCTTGCAGCAAGAAGTTTCTGGGTTCGATTCCCAGCCTTTCTGCATGGTTTGCATGTTCTCCCTGAGCATGCATGGGTTCTCTCTGGGTACTCCTCCCACAGTCCAAAAACAGTCCAAAAACATGACTGTTAGATTAATTGGCTTCTCTAAATTGTACTTGGGTGTGAGTGTGTGCATGAATGGTTGTTTGTCCTGTGTGTCTCTGTGTTGCCCTGCGATGGACTGGCGACCTGTCCGGGGTGTACCCCGCCTCTCGCCCACTGACTGCTGGAGATAGGCACCAGCACCCCTCGTGACCCCCACGAGAGGACAACCGTGTCAGATGATGGATGGATAGATGGGATTGTGTTTTGGGGTTGTGTATTGAACGGCATATTTTAAAATGTCCAGAAATGGCTCCTGGTACAGATAGCTTACAAACTAGCTGCACGGCTGCCAATTGCGCAGCGTAGTAGTGAAAATGCCCGTCTCTGCGGGATGAACAAACCTGCACTAACCAACAAACCTGAAATAAGAAACAGCCAATTGTAGCAGAATCTTTTGCTTAAAGCACGGCATATGAGCAGGGTTGCTTTGCGCATAGCCAGATACAGTGACCCTCGGCTTTTCTTAATAATTAGGGGAGAAAAAAAAATAAAAATGAGGAGAAAAACTCATAAATCAAATTAAAGATAAATAAAAAAAAAAACTATCACGAGCAAGTCATGCTATCAAATTAATTCACTGCAAAAATTCCCCAAATGATGCCATAAAATTACAATTAAATAGTTTATGAGGGTCTAACCCTGAAAGCCGATGTTTTCCCAGTGCGAACCGTAGCGAGGACAGTCCAGCCTGGTTCCAATCAGCCTTTTATTGATGGTCTGCAGGACACGCATGTGGACCGTTTGGCTGTTATCAATGGGACCTAGACACAAGCAAAGATTAACTTGGTTATCAATTAATACAATTATAAATCTTACGCCTGAAACTGGCCAACCGGACACTCACACTGGGCAATGGCAAAGACGAGATCCCTCTCCTCCAGGAGCTCCCTGTGCAGCCGCGGTGGACCAAACAGGAAATGTGCAATCGCAGCCAGACCGGTCCTGCGAATAGTTGGCTGGATGTTTTTCTACAGTGGAGGGGGAAAAAACAAACAAACATTAAATAGCTAATAAATGGTTTACACTTAATTATTAGATCCAAGATTCAAAGCTTGGATTTTTCTCTTCCATTTGCCAGTGTTGTACAAGCAGGACCGAAGCGAATCGTTAAAGTTTACGCTGATGCTGATGACTGAAAAGAAATATCAAATTTCAGCTATCGGTTTTTATTTATTTTTTTTGGAAAAACAAAAACACAAGAAAAAGACCTCAAACTATTGTTATATTACATATGAAGCTGGAGTTTGTGACACAGGCAATAAAAAGGGCTTTTCTTACCAGCAGGTCTCCGAGGTCTGTGGTCTGGAAGTACTGCAGAGCTTCATTGAAGGAGATGAGTGGGGTTGGGTTTGAGTCCTCGCTTAGAGCTGTTGGGGCATTTCAGGACATTTTGTCTTTTAGAACACAGACCCTTACAGCTACACTGGCTTCATCAGCTGTTCATCTAAATCACAAATTATTCGTGGTAAAGAATGGAGATTTTTTAAATTTAAGTGAGAGAAAAAGAAAAGAAAAGAAAGTCAGCAGGACCTTTGAGAAGAGTCTTCTGTCCATTTAGGCTCCTTTGCTACCATGTAGGCATATAGTTTCAGGATCTGACTCAAAGCTGTAATTTGGAATCTGATGTTATCAATACTAACTATAGCGTTAAAACTTTAAACCCTCAATAATTTTGTCCATGTATTAAACTGTATATAAAAGTTAGTTATACTCACCCTCACCAACTATTATATCACTTTCTAATCTGTCATGAATGCTGAAGAATTTCAGTTTATTAGGCTTCAAAGTCTGAATCAGCAAAAACTGGATTGGAGCATCACAATAACACTCTTGAGTAAATTTGATATCTCTAATCCCCTGGCCGTTCCTAATAATTGCAAACAAGCCCTTGACTAAACAATCCAGTAGGTTTGCAAGTTTACCTTGCAGGTTTTCTATACATATAAATAAAAACATATTTATAAACCTGACCTGGTTGGATGTTATCTAGAGTCTCCCACTCCTGCTTGGCCTTTTCCAACTCTGCATCCTCCGCATCCTCTAGAAAACAAAAGAAAAATCATTCATTAAAATGGTGAAAAATGATTACCCCACTGTTTTCACATTATGCTCCATAAACACATTTTCCCTGCAGCCTTCAACCAGGAGCAGCATCATCTTCATCAGCTGCTTGGTATTTATTATATACACCAATCCAGGTGTGAAGAAGTGTATGTGTGCGTTAGTTACCTGTGGGACTGGCCTTATTTCCACCAGCTGCCAGGCTCTGCAGAAGGCCATTTTGCTTTAGCGCTGAAATCTGAACAATGAACACAGGCTGCATTACAGGATATTCTGCTAATATGTTTAGTGCCTGCTAGATGCTTACACAAGGAACATGAATGTCAAACTCATTTTAGGCTTTGAATATTTTACAACATCTAGAGGTTTATGGCCAACCACTGATCTCTAAAAAGCCTGAAAAACTGATTATGATTTTAAGTGATACCCATTTTTGTTTTATAACTGACACTGGCTGCATTTCCATTATAACGGTGCACAAATTTATGTTGATTTTCTACAAATTTCAAAAAGGCAAATTTCTGCAATTGCAGTTTTTCCACTCAATATAAAATACCCATAAAAAGAAATAAAATTGCACCTGAATACGTTAGTTGACATGATAACTCTTGAAGACAACGTGGCAGCGGTGGTGGTAAACACACGAGGTATACCGTATTTTCTGGACTAAAAGCTGCTACTTTTTTTCGCCACACTTTGAACCATACAGCTTATAAGAAGGAGCAGCTTTTCTGTGGATTTTTCCCAAACCACCACAGGGGGGAAGTCAATGTTGGAAATGAAAGAATAAGGGGCTAATTTTTATTTAGCACAACATGCTAGCAGCAGGCACGACGGAGAACAAATGACCCGAATTCACACATTTTGATATTTATTTGATGCATTATAGCTGCCGAACCAATGAGGAGATTGGGCTCAACTTCAGCAGAGTTGAAATAAAGAGCCAACAAAGCCCCTTTTTTTAGTAGAAGCTCTTACTGCTATGAGCCAACAAGCTAATGGGAGCTAGCATTCTTCTTTGTTCCCACTCCAGGGGCTATATGTAGAGCTCACCCTACAGGTTTGGAGGTACAGTTCAGTAGATATCAGCGGCTCAAAAAATGTAATGGGCGCGGCTTGAGATGAGCTCTATAGTCCGGAAAATATGGTACATCAATATTTCAGCCATGGCTTAAGTGCTTCATCTCGCTCCTTGTGCAAACTTAATGTAAAAAAAATTATTTCCTCATGAATCCAAATATGCTGCGCCATCATCATCCAACTGCATCCAGTCTTCTTCATCTTTTTACATGGCAGTAAGGTCCAGCTACAGATCATGTGTGTCATGTGAGGCTTAAAATGCTTTTCCATTGCAGCTGTGCGAAACATTATTTTTTACATGCAATTTCAGCATTTAGTCTGAACTTCTAGCTAATTTAGAAGAGCAGTGGGACAAAAAGAAATTTATGTGACTTGGATATAATGGAGGTGAAGTTATTGGCATAGTATTCAACCATTGGTTAACATCGGTCCAGATTAAAATCTACTTTCTCCTAGTTGAAGAAATGTGACACACTACAGCTTGAACAATATCAAATAATAAAAAAAAATGTGCAGAAAACTAGGGCTAAATGCTTTTGCAAAAGAAATCTAAATTGTGATTTTTTTTCCCCAACAAGTATTACCGTAATTTTAATTAAAACCTTTGATCAAAATCCAAATAATCAACAGCATGGATATGTTTTAACTCAAGGGTTTCACTGTTTTCTTGTAGATCAAGAATCTATTGTCGCAGGACTTAACTGTGTGGAGAAGTGGTAGCCGCTACTCGTACACATGGATCTGCACACTTGTTGCAACTCCTCTCCGATTTGAAAACTGCATTCTGTTAAATTGCGATAATATCGCAAATTCAATTGAAAATATCCAGCCCTACTTAAAACCAAAGTATGCTTTAGAAAACAAGGTTAAATGGGCTTAAGTAGTAGACCATTTAACCTGGTAGTAGTTTGTTATTATAGGAGATTAAACTATATATGAGTTAGGGGACATAATCCGAGTTTCACAGTCAAATCTAAAGCCCAAATGCAATGACAATCGTGCCCATGAGAAGAAAATAATTTAAATAAGGATTTATTACCGGCAGAGATCTGAATGATGCGCTGCCATTAGTGTGGTCTTTTCCATTGTGACCTATCACCACTCCATTAATGACCTGCATAGAAACAGCAGTTAAAAAAGTAGACTCAGAAACTGAGAAAAATCTCTTGAGCTGCATTGATTATATAGGACCAGAGAGAAGTGACTTTAGCTTACAGGCTTATAGGTGGAATGTCCATTGGTGATCTCCATTGGTTTATGCTCACGTGGCAAAACATTTAGACCCTAATAAGGACAAAAAAAAAGGAAAAGTACAAAAAAACCAAAGGTAATGAAAGCAGTTCTTACATTATGATGAATGAATGAATCCTAAACTATTCAGGCCTAAAATAGTTCAGACAATGCAATAAAAATGTAACATTTACTGTTAATCATTTCTATAATGAAACTCCCTGCAGAGACAGCCGTCCGATAAGAAAGTAAGTGATCTTGGTTTTCAGAAAAGTTACCCTCACTGGCAGTGTTGCATTCATGATACAATTATCCAACTGTCTAGAAATGATGCACGACACAAGGATGCCGAGTAGGCTGCTAGAGGTAATGTTATGGCTACAAAACCAAGTTAGGGATAAGAGAAATGCGATGTCAGCTGCCACTGCAGCAGCCTGCCAAGCAAGCAAGCCAGATCAGAGATTACAGCTATGGGCTGGGATTTCATCATGGGTGGCGACCTGCTTAAAAGTCACATTTAAATGAACTTTGAACTGTTTAAGGAGCAGAAGCTTTCTAGACACTAAATGGTGAAGAAGATTTGTTGTTCTGATAAACAGACCAGGTGTTAAATTACAAAGGGATTAAAGCTTAGATTGAAAATATAAAGGGAAATTAAACACCTCTGTGTGAGATGAGACATCAGCGTTTTCTTCCATTGCACGTAATCCTGTTGAATGTTGATGATGATCCTGACAGTGGCCTCTAAAGGCTTTTGAAGTCATGAAAGGATATGAGCTGGGGAGCCACGGCAAAGGCCAGCATGGTTTCTGTAGTGCACACCTGTAGGGAGCGAAAGTCTCTATGCTTTTCTCATTTTCTTCTCACATGCGCAGAGATCTTCATGTCAACAACCCGATTTCACAGAAACGTCACTGAGATCCATGTGTCCGGATCATCTTGTTGTTTTCTTTTAAGCAACCAAGGTTGGGGATCTTTACACACCTTGATTGTGTAGGAATTTGTGTATGAAAGTTAACAAGATCCTCTCAAAATCAGAGTCGCAGTGTAGTGTCATGAAACCCTTCCTCTTCTCCACAGCTCAGCCCCACCACAAGCAAACAGAAGCTGCATGATGTTGCTGTTTTTCAAGCCTGGGCTCTCCCCGTCCAAGAATCTTCATGATTCTGGCGACCAGAACAAATTCAATTTGTCTTAAGCTGGGTTACTGTTTAAGCTCGGCTGCAGCAAAGAAGCCAAAACAAAAAACCTCAATGGGGGGCATTGAGAAAAGTTCTTGTTTGGCCCAACTCCAAAGCAGGAGGCCCAAAGTATCTAAAAAGTAAAAAAAAAATATTATAATAATACAACATTATAGTGACACAAACCTGTTAACCAAAACCAAACAATAGTAAAAGATTAGAATCAGTACTCATGGAAAGCATACACAGCTTACAATAATGGTTCAACCTGCTATGCATTTATATGGAATACAAAAATTATGCACAAGTATGCTACACCGCAAGCTTGTATGAGCTCTGAGAACAGCAACTTTTAAAGTCGTAGGGAAGTGGCTGTTCCAACTGTTGCAGTTGCAAATTCTCCTGAGTGGTGCCTGACTTTACACGAGTGAATAAAGTGAATGTGACTGGTTGATTATCAAGGGGGCATGATTGTTGTGGCAGAAGGTTCGCAAGCAAGTTTGGTTGTGGCCGGAGTCTCGGAAGCATCCAGCTAACCAGTTAGCAACTTAGTGCTAGTAGGTTCTCAATGGGAAATTATATTGGGACCAAGTAGCACTAAATTGGTGACTTAGAAACGACGATGTCAAGGAGCGCTATGGACAATAGAAAAATGCAAGAGGAGGAGAGTTTTGTGTCGGAAGTTGTGGATGAGTCTCCTCCGTCATCCATTTTTCATTTAGAGGAGGAAAGTTGGGGCAAAGATGTCGTGGAACAGGACGCCAGAAGCTTGGTTTAGTGTAGAAGGCTTACAGCCGTACATGTTTGAGCCCTTGCCTCGCAACGCTGCCAGTTCTGTTAGCTCTACGCCTGCCGAAGACACAGACGTCCATCCCCGTGAACACTGGGACAGAACTCAATGGAATTGTAAAGTAAATGATTCTATATTAGCTGCGACATATGAATCAAGATACTAGGACCGAAAAAATTTCATTGACAGATGACCATTGATATACGATTGGCAGAATTTAGGTGTAAAAACTGGCCTGCATAAAATAATGGTCTGTACATTTATATACATGTTTAAGCTAGAATGATTTGAAATTCAGATAAGACTTCCCTATGACTTTAAGCAGAGCGTGCACAAAAAGAAATGGGCTTGCACATGCATTTTTTTAAAATTGGAGAGGGCGAGTCTTTTATAAAAATCGTACGGGCATAACCATGTATCCAAGGGAAGGCTTATTAAAAGTGTGCGAGAGTGTGCACGAGCCCATTTCTCCTTGTGCACGATCTGTTTAAACAGTTTTTGCATCGCTCATACAAGCTTACTTTTCAAAAGAAGATTTGCAATTTTTTCATTATGTCAGACTCACCACCGGTATTATTACCATTTATTTTGATGATCCACCCAGAAAAAGAACATTCTCCACTATAACTTTAACTTTCTATGTAGATATTATGTGTCATATATTAATGGAGCCCACTCAGAAAGCGTAATGAAGATTTTGAAAGAACCCCGAACATTTATCCCATTAAAATGTGTTATCTAAGTGTGCTAACATTAGCTAATCCTTTATTTATCCCATGATGTGGAACTTTATAGAATTAAAGCAACAGGAAAGTGCACACAATACAAACAAAATCACCTAAGAATGGAAAGATATAATAAAAGTGGTAGATTATTAACACTATTAACATTACATTATTAACACTATTATTGTTATTCCATTGTAATAATAAATAAAATCACTGAAACACTAAAGGGTCAACAGCTCTATGATACATCAAGCTTAAATATTAAAAAGTATCGTATCGTATCGGCGATACTGACCCTGTATTTACTTAATGTATCGATTGAAAATTCGCAGTATCGCCCACCTCTATATTTTACATATCCATCATTTAAACTACACAACAAAAACTGAAACTATTAAAAACATTGTTAGGACATAAAGCTCGAAAGGTAAATGCTTAATGGGGTCACTTAAAGCATCACAACAGCAAAAAAGTTAAGATGCATTTAAAGTCTTTAACTTTTTTAGATCGAAAACATTTTTAAGACCTTATGCATAATATTTTTTAACAAAATATAAGTTATAGTTATGTAGAGGATCTGTACTTCGATAAAAAAAAATGTCTGTTGGATTATTGTAATTTTTATTCAAACAAAAGCTGAAAGCTCATGCTGAACTTTATTGAAAATTCAAAGTATTGTGGAGAGGATGGAGACAGAGGGACTCATAGAGCTGAGGTTTAGTGGTGACAGGCTCCTCCAGAGGAGGCGGGCGGGCGGCAGCTCCAACTGTCAGCTAGCAACCCGTAGCTGTAGCAACCAGAAAGCTAGCAGCCCCGCTCGCGCTGCACAAAGACGCAGCTACAGTTTTATCTCAACCCGAGAATGCAACCACTGACATCACCGACATGCAACTCCGTCCCAACTCTCTCCAAACACTCTAAACATTTCTGACAAAAATCACCTGCGCACTCAAGCAACCAGTTCCCACTAAACGTAAAGAAGAAAAGCCAGCTCCCAGGCTAACTATTTAACGAAGCTAGCTGGAGCTCTGCTGAACTGTAACGGAGATGGAGTCGATCTCCACATCTGAAGACAACGCGCTCATTACATCTACTTCAGTTTTTTTTATATCTACTAAATAATCCCACAATATATTAAATACAAGTCCAGCCTTACTATACGACAAGAAGCATTTTAAAAGTACCTGAGTTTCTGATTGTTTCCCCCTCCAATCTCAGCTTCCCTTCCCCCGTTCAGCAGCCACAGCAATTCCAAGTGCATCCTGGGAATTGTGGTTTCCTGTCAAAGGATAGATTCATTACGTCATTGCTTTCTGGGAGCTAAGGTGGGGTGTCTATGGCAAAAACACAGAGCAACTCCTTCCCAGCGTTTTTTATGTCTTTATTTGAACAATTAAATACCTAAATTAGATCTGCGCGCCTCCCACTGTAGATTGTATTATTTTTCCTGATGTCAAATGTGAAATTGTGATTATTTTCACATCTTTAGGGAAAAGTTCAGCCTAAGAATCTAAGTTGATATCTTACCCTAAGTAGATAACTCTCTATGCTCTCATTTCACAGAAATCAAGATAAACTGAATAAACTGCAATCTTAACAAGGTTATAACATTTATGTCAACCCATAAGGTGTCATTTACAGTTATAAAAAAAATAGACACAACTGAGGAACAAAAGATTGGAAACAAGGGGCTCAGGCCATCTAAAAAAACAGCAACATTTGATTTTGTAAAGCACTTTGCTTATAATAATTTAGTGATAGATATTAATTCATTATTGCAATGTATATTTTGTAAGCTTTTACATTTTTTCATCTTTTTGTAGTTAAACACGTGAAGGCTGGAATAGAAACCTATTGTTACTGGATTTTTTATTGGTTTAAAACACCTTACATTCCTATTTTGTAATTAATCAATTATATTTCTTAAAGTGTAGAAAGGAAAATCTTTATATATATATCAGAGGTGTCAAGTAACAAAGTACAAATACTTTGTTACTGTACTTAAGCACACAACTTATTTTTCTTCCTACTTCTAACGTCTACTCATTACATTTTCACACATGTATCTATACTTTCTATTCCTTAAATTTTTAAAACAAACGTTACTCGTTACTCTTGGCTTCGGTTTAATGTTTATAATAATTTATTTCCACAATCCAATGCAGATCATTGGCTCCATCCACATCTAGTGAAAACTAGTGTAATTGGATGAGTCATATAACGCAAACACTCATTGGTTAGCTAAAGGAAATCATCAGAAGCAAGCAGGTGTTCTTCAAACTGCAAACGTGAATTGTCTATGCCATGCTACAATGTCGGATTCAGAAAAAGATGTTGAAATGTCTGAAAGGTCGGACACAGGCGAGAGCGTATCAGGAGATGGAGACCAACAAGACCTCCCTCATCCTTGGCCCTTTGTGAAAGAACTTTTCGAAATAGTTAAAAAATTGAGCTTTCTATTCATATACTGGCATCTGGCTAGTTTTTGTATTTTTAAAAAAAAGTAACTTTATACTTTTATACTTTAAGTAGTTTTTTGGAGCACATACTTTTTCACTTTTACTTAAGTAAAGAGGTAAAGTTGATACTTTGACTTTTACCAGAGTGTTTTTAAACTGCAGTATCTATGCATCTACTTAAGTAACAAATGTGTGAATTTTTGAAACCACTGATATATATATATATATATATATATATATATATATATATATATATATATATATATATATATATATATATATATTTTTTTTTTTTTTTCTATCATCATGTTCTATAAGCACATCTATTCGCTTTTACCAGAAAGGGGGAAAAAAAGAACCCAGAGAAATGCAGGGGGAAGAACAACATGCAAACTCCACATAGAAAAGATTTGTATGCAGAACAACAAGATTCCAGCTATAATTCAATGTATGTAAGCCTACTATGACAGATCTATATAGTTTTATATGTGTGTCTTAGAATGTGCTCACATTCGCCCTATGACGGAAAAAAATGCAGTTTGGGCAAAAAAATGAGCAATAAGTTAATCAATGCTGGCATCAGTACCAAGGATGTAGCATGGCTGCCAGATTGCTTGTTTTGTCTTTCTGGTTTCATTGCACAGCTTCTGGAAATGATTTACCTTTTCTGCTCCAGGGTCAGAGTTTTCCCACATCTCCCCTCGCTGCAACAGAAAAGCGCTTATGATTTTATTTGAAGGGAACCCAAGCAGATGCCAATTTTTTGCCTGTGGTACCTAATCTCAAAAAGAGTCTCACATAAACCTAACATTTATGTCTTGTTAAATATATAAACAGAAAACCAGATATTTGTTGGGAACCCAATCATTTCAAAAGGTTTGTGGAAAAGTAAAATAAAAATAGCCTTTGATCCTGGTATTTCAATTCCAGTTTCAAAGAACATTTTCGAGCTGTATCGGCACAACATAATCACATAGATATGAAGTTGGATCTTGGAGAACTTTGTGAGACAGGAAGTGAGAGTCCTAAACCGTGACTCATTTTGGCTTCTGTTGTCTGCACTGCATCCAAGAAAATCATTTGTACAAAACTTCTTCAAATTGAACAAGGACACACAAATCTGGCAACGTGTTACACAATGGGCAGTAATGAGGGACAGACTTCCTGTTTGGAATAAAAACCCAGAGTTACTTGATTGTGAGGAATGTTCTGCTGGCTTATATTGAACTGCAATAGAGAGCCATCAGAAAGGCCAAACACCTGCTCACTCTGGCAAACCAATGCTCTGAAAACCCATCAGTGACCAAGAAAATGTTTTTGAAAATAAACTTTTGACAAGGTTTCCTTTTACCATCTTAGCATCAAAATAACTAAAACTGTAATAAATTACACATTCTGCTATGTTAAAGCTTTTATACCTCTTACATCTTTATGCACATTTTGTCATTTGACTACAAATTCTGTGACTTGTATTCATTTATTTGTACTCTATGTAAAGTAAAAGAATAACCATTTCTACATTTTCTTTATACCTACTAATTTAGGAAGTGTGACAACCATTTGATGTCGACTCCTTTTACTCTAAATACAATCCAGAGAAAACATTTTTGTTTATTTCATGGATATATATATATTCAGGTATAATTAAATCCTTCGTTAAACCTCAAATGTTTGTTTAACAACAGAGAAGAACAAAAAGCATCACGACGACCAAAAAAAAAACAAAAAACCACAGCATTCTATGTAAGGACAATATTTGGCAGATGTTTAAAGCTGTTATTAGGCTGTAACAATAAATCATGCTTTGAAAAGCTTACAGATGGTTGATTATTTCATCATCCCCAGCAGGGTGGCAGAATCACAAATCTACAAATCTGCTCTTGTTAAAAGGTGGCAAGAAGGAAGCTATTTTAGAAAGAAAGCCAATGGAAATCCTGTTTATAGGCCATGCAGATGATAGAAGGTGTTCTATGGAGATAAAAAACAAACTGAACTTTGCAGCATTATACTGCTTATCATAACTACAACCAAATAAATGATAGCGGTAGACTCATGCTGCTGTAATGCTTTTCTTCATCAGGGACTGAGTATATTAACAGTTTTGAAAATGACGTAAATATCCTTCATATTTATCACACTGTAAATTTGTTACCCTTTTGTGTCAATATGATGCCTTTACTCACATGGCAATGTATAATGTTAAATGAGTTGTATCATACCGTATAGGCCGATGAGCTTAGCTCATGTATCGGTACCTAATTGGATCGGAAAAAAATGGATCAATGCAGCTTTAGTTTTAATGCAACTAAAAGTAAAAGTGGTGTGAAAACTTTTGCAATGTACTACCACACATAACTGTGTCCTCTGTATGCAGTTAATATATTGTAAGCATATCCATGTCTATACTTTACAGCTATAAGTGTGTATACCTGCATGATCTTATGAAATTGAGCATAAAAACCAGAAATATGTTCAACAAGATTTTATTCCAGTTGTAATCCAAAGACAATACAATCATTTTTCAAACTTCCTCTTGAAAGCATAAATATTAGTGACACCCAGCAGTCTCTGTAATGTCACACAGCTAGGCAAAATCAATAAATAACATGCAGACATAAAAGTGCAATTTCACAACAGGGGCAAGGCAATTAATTAGGCTGATATTTAAAGAGACTCATCAGCTAGAGGGTCGTAAAAATAACTCTACACATTTTTTGTTAGGAGGGGAAATGCCGTGACTGTTAAGAGCATCAAATTCTCTCCACAAATTCGGTCTTATCTAAACACTGAACAGGAGATAAGATTTAGAATAACCAGAAGCCCTGTTTAAGAGTAGCAGCTGATAACAAACTTGATTAAGACAGTGTTTCACATGTAGTGCACTCTTTGCCATTGCTTACTTTCTTAAATGTGAAGTACATTTAATGTTAAGTGCAAAAATGTTAATACATATAAGCATACACGTTTTTGATTTGAAAATCTTTTTTTTAAAGAAAACAATATTTCATAGATTTGTACTTGGCAACTATCAGCAAAAGGCAGCAATGCACATGGTGCACATATTACGGTGAAATATATTCTTTAAAATTCTTTAGCTGTAAATCTCATCAGCCATGGCGTTGTGATTATCTATTATTACTCATTATCAGTTTCATCAAAGGTGCTGAGATTTTCTCAAGATTTCAGAAATGCTCATTCTTCCTGGGATCTCATTAAAACTCCCCGGAGTGTCTACTTTTTCAGTGATTTAGATGAGAATTTGGATGAACAAAGGTTTTTTTTTTCTCTCTCTTGGCTCGAGAAGCATCTTGTGTCAGCAGGAGTGAGCCATCTCCATGGAAACGTTATTTGCCATCCTATTTCTGAGGTGGTTGGCAAAGTCCACCTGCGTTTGAGAGAGCACTTTGTTGATGATTGTCTTTGGGATCCAGCCCTGCAGATGACAAAGGGAAACCCGGTATTAGACAGACTCCTTTGGTGTTTAAACACATTTTTTTGCTCAAGATTTATTGTTTACCTTTAGATCCAGACTCAGTAACCAGGTAAACTTTGTCTTATTTGGGTCTTCAGCGCAGGGCCTCATTACTATACAGGTAGGCCCGTTCTCGGCTCTGCAAAATTTCACAAATTAAGCTTGTTTGTGCAGATTTGATGTTTACAAGCAGTGCATTTACACAATGTAGCTAGTATGTGATCTAACTGATTAATAATGATTAAGTTAATAACTTATTTACCTGATGACACCTTTCTGCTCTGGCATCTTTGCATGCTGAGTGGACATTCCAGCCAGGAAGCAGGTGGAGCCTCGACGTTTAGCACAGCGGACACTCACAAAGTCCCTCGGACCTACTACGTTGCCTGGCGTCTCTGCCGACACTTCATGGGTCACCATGGTGTCCTGCCCAATCTTTTGAAGAATCTGGAATATACCAGTTTGAAATGTCACCATTGCTATTAAGTTTAAAGCCTGTACTTTGGATGTTTCTGGATTAAACCCCAGGAAATATCGATCTTACTTTGACTTGTTTGACGTTAGGGTTCCACTCTCCCATTTGCTCCATTTTTTCCACCAGCTCTTCATAAAGGTTGTCAGGACGTTGCTCCAGCACCACTTCAAGTTTGAACACCTTCCCAATGTCTGGCAAGACTTTGCTGAGAACCTTATCTCCGTTTGCCTGCAGGAATGTGGGAAGAGATTTGTCAATTGACCCATATTGCTTATCACATCCAAATTAAATCTGAACTTCAGTGGGATGTTCTTTTGCTCTGCTTTGCCATTTTACTTACAGCTACGGTTTCCACAGTCCAACCGTCCTGCTCGCTGAGGATGCTGATGGCTTTTTTCAGCGCATCCTCACCTTGCTTCACATATGACATCTCTTCCTCATTGTACCCCTCCTCCTCCTGAATCCGAGAACCTTAAAAAAAGGATTTTAGTTGACTACACATCACAATATACTAAAACTCTATAAATGTTTGGATTGTCATTGCCATTCAGGCACAAATAAGTCTGCTATGTCCAAAAAAAAGCTACACATATTGAAACAATGCATATCTTAAAAAGGCACTTAAGTCTCATATATCTATTGCACAAAACCTGAAGAATAGCGTGTTGAAGCCACCTTATTATTTCTTACATACTTGTTATCTTTTTTACAGTTCTTTCTATGATGTGGGACTGAGACTTTTATTACATTTATTGTTCTTTGAGCATGGCACCTAAATAACTTGTGATAATGTATTCTTAAGGACAACAAGAAAATCATTTTAAAGTTTTTGTTTATAAAATCTCTTGCTGTTATTTATTTTTTACAACAATACATGGAGTTGTCTGAGTGTTGGAAGGTAGTACTATTTATCCAAGGCCCACTGTGACGAGAGAACCTCATTGTGAGTAAAATTTCATTTTGTGTTGTGTTCTAATAAATTAATCAGTTGATTTCACCTGGAACAAACTGAATTTCTATACAATGGAGTTTTTTTTTTAAAGGCCAATTCTCTTTAAGACGATAGACAATTGGTGGATGGAGAGATCTGACTGCTAGAAGAGCAGGAGGAGGGAAAAACTAACTTCCATAAAAGTAAGCTATAATATTAAAGTTACAGAAAAAAAAATAATGAGAGGAAGAGTAAAATAAAAATAGGGGAAGCAGCTTTTGGTACATTTTTTTTGACATGTGTGAGCCATAACTAAACTAAAACATTATCGACGTCATTAATAAAAGTTTGGAGTAAAGGCAGCACTTTCTTCGAAATTAGTTAAAACACCATCATGAATTTTCCATTGAAAGCCTCTTGATATCATGGTAAAAACAGTTTAGATCTATATTTATACCATGTAACATTTGAATATGTGAGTATCGGCTTAGCCTATAGCACTTTTTCCAATAAAAAGCCAGTTGATGAGAAATTAACTTTTTAGACCTTATCAGGGACTTCATGCACATAAGGGACTCGCCAGTGAAAATTCAGTGGAGCATTAACACAATTATTTTAACCAGTTTTTAAAAAAGGAAATATTTTTTCAATATATATACAAACACATATTTTGCCTGTTTAGAAATACAAGTAAAAATAATATTTTGTTGTTATCTAACTTTTAGCTGTATTTTTTAAGTATAGTATTTTAACTGGCATCATACTCTTATCTTTGGTTTGTATTATAAGAAAATATTTTGTGAGAGAAATTGACGAAACAAGCATGAAGTCCCACCAAAGTGGTGAATATACTGACAATTTATAACAATAAAGGTCTGTCTTGAATTTCACAGCTGGTATATCTCCGAGATTAGTCTGAATAAATCAATTTGGAATAAAACAAAAATAAAACAACTCACTTAGTAGAGAGCTTCGTCGGCGGACTTGGCTGATCCAGTTACTGGGGCCTGGACCTGCCAGCCTGTTCAGCTCTTGATGGATGGCTGCCAGGGCATTTCTCCTTAGACCTGGATAGCAATAGATCGTGACATTTGCAGATGAAACTCCAAGTAAAAAGAAGCATGAACGTTTCAATATTTCTTCATTTGTTTTCTGTCGCTCTGATCCCATTCTCCCTGAAGACCTCAGATGGAAATAATTTGGATTTAAAAATGAAGTTAAACAGGAGGGATAGAAGTAGGTCAAGGCAGCAGTGCTGATTGTCTCTCTGATGAGATTCATTCACTCACCTGTCATGTTCCTCATGTGTCGATAGGAAATGCCAGCACACAGTTTAAAAGTTGCAGGCAGCATTTTGCTTTGTATGAATTACTGGTACAAAAAAATGTAAAAACAAAAATTGGAAAATTGAAATACAAGCTGCTAGGATAAACGTTAAAGTATATCTGAGGGGTAACAGTGTAGAGTGGAAGGTACTGCTGCAGAGGATTCAAGTTTATCTGTGGGATGTTTCAGAGCTCTTGTATATATAGGAGCTCCCCCCCCCACACACACACACAAGGCCACCTTCATATCACTAGATAGATAAACAGGAGAACCAACTAACTGTTCCAACGACCATGTCATCAAGGCCACTTCGTGGACATGACAAGCATTTCTCAGAGTCTCACAAACTCTGTGTGAGATAACGTCCAGTGCCCGTTTTTTTGCACACAAACAAACACTCAACAGGAGAGAGTGCCTTCCCTGTGTGATGGGAGCATCCAGAAGAGAGAGGTCAGTGGAGCAGACCCTGAATGACTCATCCATCCAGACTCGTGGTCCATGACCCCATAATCACTGTGGAACTCAAGGGCAATGGTGTTTCTCTTAGTTTGGCTCATTTCTCCCCCAAATGATTGATACCTCAGAATAAGTCTGGCAAATCTTCAATGTCAGTACAAGAATTAACACGTCAGCAACTCGAATATTCTGACCGGGTTCCTGAAGTTTCTAGATTCTTTTTTTTCATATAAAAAAAAAATCATAGACTGGGATATTTACATACAATTAATTTTTTACAGACAAAAATGTTTTTATGCATATATTTTCAACATTTGTCACAGTTAAAAAGCTAATTTTGGTAAACAAAAATAAGAAACACAAAAGACTGTTCCAATCCATTAGCACCACTTATACAAAATGAATCTCTTTATCTAATTCACCAGAATTTGCATATAACTTCATATTTTGTTCATGATTTTGTAAAATATCAAATCAGTTGATATGATCATGGTTTGTAAGTAGATCAGTACTTGAGCAGCCTTTTTACCAAATACTTTTTTTACTCTTACTTTAGTACTTTCTTTAAGGCTACTTTTTTTTCTTTAGCTTAAGTAAAAATGATGAAGCAGTGTTACTCTTTCCACCTCTTATTCTCATACTGGTGGAAACAAATAGCTTTCTTAGTTGCATATTGTCTAAATCTCATTGGCTGATTTGGCAAGTAGTTTCTTATGAGTCTTTGAGAACAATTTCAAACAACAGTGGTTGTGAAAACGAAAAAAAAATTCCTGGCAACAATATCAAACAACTAGTTTTCATGGAGAAAGTATCTAATAAAGAGGAACCCCAGAAAATCACAAGGTCAGGGATATCTGATTAGATTAAGACAGACTTACATAAAATAGCATATCGTTAAAATGTTGCAGCTCAGTGCCTTAGCCAGAACATTTTTATAAGGGTGGCAAAAAGCAGACAGGCGCCAGAACGTCAGGGTTAATCTACACTTTCCAACTGGAAAAGGAACAAGCACATCATCCGTATTTTCCGAATAAAGACTAACTCGATTTTTCCAAAACCCTTACTAATAAATAAACATATATTTACACATCCATGCTGTCTAAACTAAAGGTATAGTGAATCAATCTTCCTTCAGCTTTGAGTTCTGGGGTGAACATTCATCTCTTGTTATTCCTTACCTGCCATTCTGGAAAAAATGTCCAACCTATTTTTATCAATAATTGTTGTTCATAATATTAATGTTTATATATATACTAATATCCACATTAAATGGATTTAGATGTTATCTCCAATTACACTGAAAGCTCTTAGATGACTGCATAACTTTTTCTTCTCCGTGAAAAAACAGAAAAACTAGTTCTGAAAAGACCATGAATCAATATTTATCATCTTTGATTAAAAATTTTGATATGAGTGATAAGCTACTGTATTTTTGTTGTCTGTTTAATGTTAATATACAAACAGTTAACATGTCAAATTCCGCTTTATAGTACCGTATACTGTTGCCACCCTCAGTTTTAGAGGCTTGTGAATTATGGCCACATGGGATCACCTGGTAGGGGCGGCCATAAGGCAGCCATGGCCATCCCTGGCCCCCTTCTAGCTCCTCCCCTGCTGCAGCTTAAATTCATTTATGAAGGAGCTATTAGTGGCACAAAAACTGGTGCCTTTGAATAAATATACTTTTATTAAAGTCAGTAGTTATTTTTTTATTCCTCTGGTAGAGATTTATAATTTATAATAGGTATAGCGGAGGTTTTTTTAAAATTTTTGAACCGCCCTCTCCACTTTTAAAAAGAAATGTACATGCTTGACACTGTACCCACTCCTGAGACGGAACGCTTATCAAATGGCCTGTACTTATACAGCGCTTTTTTAAGTCAGGAAACTTCAAAGCACTTTGCACTACATTCAGTCATTCACTCACACACTGATGGTGGCAAGCTACACTATAGCCACAGCTGCCCTGGGGCTCACTGACAGAAGCGAAACTGCCGTACACTGGCGGCACTGGGCCCTCTGGTCACCATTGGTAGGCAATGCAGGTAAAGTGTCTTGCCCAAGGACACAACAACATGGAAAGCCGGAGCCTGCGCTTGAACCGTCAACCTTCAATTTCAGGGCAAACTCCTACTGTACATCCAACACCACTGTCACCCCATATAGCCACCTTAAATTTTAATCCTTCGATTAAACAGGTGCGAGAGCATGCAGGAGCCAATTTCTCCTTGTGCACGCTCTGTTTAAAAGTCACTGTTTGCATCGCCCATAAAAGCTTACTTTCCAAAAGAAGATATACAATTTCTCCACTATTTCAGACTCTCCACTGGTAAGTGAAAATAGGGACAAGCAGGTAGGACGGCCTTATGTAAACATATCACCAAAATGATTGACAATTATAAGGGGCAATTATTTTGATAATCCACACAGAAAAAGAACATCCTCCACTATACCTTTAAAGAAAAAGTTATTTCTCCAGAGTATATATAATGATTTTAGGGCCCTATGCTTAGCACTGTCTACTTTTACTTTTATTACAAAAAGATGATTTAATTCAACAGTGTTACCCTATTTTCACATTCTAACAAAAAATAACAACACAATATGATGGAAAAGAGTAGAAAATGAATCATAGGCCTAAAATATATAAATATTCTACATTGCATCATAGGAGACAAAAAACTAAATATTATACTAGTGTTAAGATTAACTGAAAATCCACACGCTTTAATATTTTTTTTACATTTGAACTTTTTTTGTATGTTATTAATATGTTTGTTTTACCCTCCCAAGGGGGTGATTTATTACATCACCTAAGTTTGGGAATAACACATTATATCAAACTGTGTTCATGTTTTAAAAACCTTGCTTGCTTCACCCAATACAAACACAAATTATCTTAGAGTAATATTTTCTCGACGGGCTGCACGTCAAGAAAGCCGCCAGAGGCAACAGCTCAGGCGATTAGAGGCCTGGAAACTTGTGAAAATGGAAACAGCTCCTCTGATTAGGGTCGGAACAAGTGCAGAGAAAAAAAAGGTGATTAATAATTCCTTGGTGACAGTAACAGAGATATTAGCCACCTTAAATAACCTTAAATAACCCTTCCACCTTCTGGTTGGGTTTCCTCATAGTAGGCCTAAGACTGGCCGATCATATACTCAGGTACAGTGGAAAAATTCATGCATCTGTTATTTCTAAAGGACAAATAATGAAAAGAGAAACTGGATTATATTCCTGATAAAAGGAGTCTTTTTTCTGGCAATAATTGATTTTTCTTTTAATTTATGAAGTGAATTTGAACCTGTGACATATAAAAGCTAATTCAACTTTTTTGTCCAGGGTTAGGAATTTTTGTGCTTATTTAAGCTTTTATTTTCCTAATCAAAAGATCAAATTTTCTTTGATGGTTTCAATGATTTTTTGTGATGATTCTGATGTTTTTAATGCTTTTACTGCAAATATGTCCTGATGTTTTGTGAGGTAAAGCAGTTTGACTTAACTTGCAGCTGAAATGTGCCATACAAATACAGAGCTGTCAACTCTCACCCAATGGGAGTGAGACTCACCCATCTCAGTGTCTTCACACGCTCTCACTCCATATCCCCAATTTCTGATACTAAAAAATGACAGAAATTAAAACTAAATTCCTTTCCACTTATTTATATATAAAAATACCATGGTGATTAAAATCCAGTCCGTGTTTTTAATACAACCTTAGTGCTAAAACATAAGGACTTGCGAGGTTCATATCCAGTCCATATTCCCACCTATTCACTGTGCCAGATATTGAACAAAGACAGTTCTTATGAGGTATGTCATTTAAATTTTTATCTTATCTCATCTGCACTAGGATAATTCTCTTTGTAAATTATTGAAGATTTTAAGCAATCTAGTACTTTATTTAGCATTTTATTTTTCAAAAGGTCAGCCACCCAAGAAAAGACAAACCACACTCATAGAGGTTGTGCAGAACAACTCATTTATCAAGGATTCATGGAGGAGAAACCACAGGGATGTTCTTATTTTATTATTACTTATCACATTCATTTATTTTTATTTAAAAAAACTTAATTTCCATCACACCGTTCAAACAGAAACAGCCGTTGCCTCTTTGGAAACTCAGGAAGGAGCAATCAGCTAAGTGAGCTTAGTGATTCCTTTTGAGACAGCATGAAAAGTGAGCTAAGTACAAAACAAAGAGAGGAAAACAACAAGAAAAGGAACAAGAAGAGAGGGACAAAACGTAGAACAAATAATGGATGTCTATTCTATTAACATCTCTATATCTCTATAATGGGTCTGTTTTATACTGTCTTCTTAACTCAGAAGGCCCCATACCTGTTTTTTCCTAGGGCCCAAAATTTCCTAAATCCGCCCCTGGACTAAATATGTTACAAACACCTAAGTCTGACAAAAGGTTATTTTGAATTGTTTACTACTCTAAGTAGTGATATGATGATAAAAAAAAAGTAGCAAAGGATCATTTCAGGTGTGTTGTTAACCTTTCATAATAGTTTTTCACCCTTTTTAAAGATAATTTTGTATCAGGTATTACTAAAAGAAACATCAAATATAGGCAGAAAGTAGAATTTTTCCAATATTTAGGTTTTAATTTGAAAAGACAGATACCCTCTGCACCCGTTTATAGCAGGACTTAGAAAATAACTACAATAAGACAAAGTTAGAAAAAGAACAAAACTTTTCTTTCATTCTGCTGGGTGTAGCTGAACATGTTTAACAGCATGGGCAGTTCTAAACAGGGGCCAGTGGGGGCCAGTGTGTCACAGTTGGGTGGAGGTTTTTGAGGACCCAAATGCAGAGACCAGGAGGCGGAGGTGAGTCTTGCAGGTTTAATGAGGCAAAAATCCAAAATAACAGATACAGAAAGCCAGGATCTAGGGGACATCAAGGAAAACACACATGAGGAGCCAGGGAAAGATGAGGAATCAGCACTTTGGAACTGCATAGGGAGAGTATATATAGGAGACAGAACAAAGGCTGGACTAATGAGCTGACAAGAAACAGGTGTGGATGCAAGTGTCTAGACTCTAGAAGGAAGCAAAGGGGAAAGAAAACAAACACAAGATGGCCACAGAGAGTAATTCAAGAAATACAAAAGCACTCAAAAATAAAACCAGAAAAGAACTAGAATAACACAAAATGGAAATTAACCGAATAAACTAGAAAACACAGAAAGACAAGAATAAAAATTATAACTGAAAACACAAAGAGAAAACTCAAACAGAACAAAAAAGTGCAGACTCACGACACAGTGGCCCTTTTGAACTGTTCCTGACCCCTGTACTCAAGACACAATACAAGATAAATTGATAAGAAATTAACAATATGTGCTGGACCAGAAACTACAACCGATAGGTCCTTTAAACCAATAGATTTTTTTTTTGTTTTTATTTTATTAATTATATACAAATTATGTTTTTGTACTTTCAGCTTTACGTTTCTAGTAATGGAAATTGCCATTTGGCTCACTTAATATATAAAATGTTGAATTATCTTTGTTTTGATCTTTTGTTTGGTGCCCCCATGTTAAACTATGGCCCCAGCCCACCCCCCTGATAAATCTGGCCTAGAAACACAACTTTTTAACAGACATTTAAAAACATGAGGCCAATGTCCTAAAACACACGGGCATATTTGAATTTCAACAGAGCCATCGCCGGAAATAAAGAGCCAGACACACAGTTGAGTATTCAAACTATTATACAGTTTATTAGGACTTGATTGACACAGTGGGTTTGGCTTTCACATGCACTCAGCACTTTGCTGTACATCACATTAAGAAGGAAAATTCCCTCATTGACTCCCTACGCTCCATCTTTCCCCCTCCTTCCCTTCCCTTCCCTTCCAACAAACTGTGTAAGTCTATGTGTATTTGTGTTCCCCAGCGAAGCAAAACAGAGCATGACAGTCAGATAATAAACAAAGTGCTGATGTCTGTGTGGGTATTGTCTGGAAATCATGCTAACAAGGAGGCACTTCAGTCTGATTCAGATTCTTTTTTTTTTTTTTTTGCACGTCAAAAACGCAGATTAGGGGACAAAAAAATAGGAGGGTTGTGTGAGATTAATAAGGAAAAATAAAATTACTGCATGGAATAGTTTTCGGCAGCTTAAAATGGGGGAATATACCACATTCTTAAAAACCTCGCCAAAGAGCCAGCACTCTTCCTCCGTTTAGTTGGCTCTGCTGCTGCAAGAAGGCCACTTCTTTATGTGGAGACTCTCCGGTGTCTTCCTCTCCTTCTCCCCAGCTCTGATGCAAAGGAGCAAGGCTGATTAAAGAAGATTCAGATAGGGTAAACCTTTCAGGTAGCTCTCGATACACTGTGTCTTGGGGTTACAGTTGGACACAAAACAAGAGGAAGACCCTTTAGATTCATGAGGCAGTTTGAAGAGCACACTGAGGGTTAAGTGTAAACGGGCAAAATATATATATATTTATATATATAAAAAAAACTGTACATGGAGCGTGTCACAAAAGTAATTTCCCTCTGGGATTATTCAAGTATTTCTGATTCTGATTATATATATATATATATATATATATATATATATTTATATATAAAAAAAACTGTAACTGGAGCGTGTCACAAAAGTAATTTCCCTCTGGGATTATTCAAGTATTTCTGATTCTGATTATAAAGGGATAGTAAAAAAAATCAATAAGGTATCAGTCAGATGAGAACACAAAATTCCAAAGCTTTTTAAATATACCCAGGAAAAAATCTGGACAGGTTTTACTGTTACATTATAAAAACT